AAAAACCAACTATAGCAAACATTTACAATACTGGAATTTTCAACCTCGAACCGGGATGTAGAGCCACAGTAAATGCGATGCAATTAAAAGCAATGGACACAATAGTAACCATGGAAAATATTATACATTACCCATCCGCGTCATACAATTTATCAGTAATCATTCCGAAAATAACAGAACATCACCTATCAGTTTTAGAAACCAATTACACTAATACAGATCAAGTAATCACAAATTGGAAGAACCTTCCGACAGCACCAAACCTAGAGGAATTGGAGCATCGGGCGAAAGAATTGGAACTTCAAGAAATTTCCACAAATCGTATAAAAATATCAACATTTTCCTCGTTTGGAGTAGTATCTTTGATCCTACTATTAATAATTGGGACAATAATAAAAAGTAATATACACAAAATCATTAATAAAACTAAAACCTTTGGACAAACCGAACGAAATTGAATTGCAACTGGAAGAAATACCTAAAAACTCAGAAGAATCAAATTCAAATAATTATAAATTTACCAAGGGAAAAATCTTCAGCACCTAGACCAAGTGCCACAATATTCTAAGGGGCCGTAGCCACTCCTACAACATCCCTCCTCTAAGAGTCGAAATAAGAGTGGGTAAGATAAGGGTTTTCAGACTATATAAGCAGTTCTCGGCACCATAGTCTCATCAGTAGACATCCTCAAGAAAATGAACACCATCAAAAATATAGTTTTGAGCAGTTCTGTTCGGATCGGAATTGTCCACGTGGACAATCCAGTAGAATTCTGGGCGCAGGTGGACGACGGTCGGGAAGAAGCTAGGCGACTGTACCGGGACCTGTATCGGTACATGAGCGGACCGCGGCCACCTCCACTTTCCAAACCAGGGAAGACTGACCACTGGACGTCTGGTGGCGTACAGAAGTAAAGAAGGTACCTGGGTCCGAGGAGAAGTTCAACACCTGGTGGACGGCCAGTTCGAGGTGGCTCTTCGTGGACCACGGCAAGGTGGCCTTCAAGGTACGAGTACGGGGTATCCGCCCTGTATGCAGGACCTGGAAGATAGAGCAGGCCAAGAGGGTGTTGGAAGGAAGGAGGGGTTCTGCTAACCAACATCAGAGGCGAGGGGTGAGGTCGTGGCAGATGTAGCCCTCGATCGTCTACCAGGACAACCACCATTCAACGTGGCGGAGGCGTGGTTGGGCATGAGATACGCGGTTCCAGGCCGGGTATAAAAGCAGACCACAACACCATTCTTCCAAAACACTTATCTGAGCGGACCGAAATGTGCTACATCAGGGAACAACCAACTGAGAGGGGACACCAGTCGCATCGAGCTGCTGATGAACTTGACGGCCCGCCTGTGCATGCGCAGCACTTGCTACAGATTAGACGTTGGCATTGTCTGTATGCAGTGTGCTCTCGAAGCAGCCCTTGGAGCAGCAAGGATCTATGACATGGTGGAGGTACACTATCCACTACCAACGGCATATCCGCCTGGGGCCTGCGATATTTGCAGCGCGCCCCTGATGGAGTTGCAGGCCGCCTACCACTGCGAGGAGTGTATTGCCGCCATCATCATGGAAATGGAATACCAAAGAGCAAACCAACCCATACCACCGCCCTGCAATAGTACCAACCTGGTACACCGAGAGACAAATCCGATCGAGGCAGCCTGGACCCAGACGTACGCTTCGACTTCATACCGCAGTTAGCAGCATCACCAACCATCACACGTAGCGATAAGTACACACACATCACACATAACACCCGACATATTGCATTACAACACCAAAACTTCAACACATTCTAGTGAGTGTTTTCCTTTCCAATTGAAAAGCATCACGATTACCGCGATGTTTCATCTAAGGGGGGGAGGTGTCACGTAGACAGACCGTTTTTAATCAAACGTGTCTCCTTTCAAATAAGCTTAAACATCTGGAAAGGAAAACTCTCGGGCAAACCGACCATTTACTCTCGTAATAAACAGAAGGCCCACCGATAGCAGAACCAAACACTTGGGAAAGCAATGGGTCCGCCGTAATCAAATAGCAGATGCAACCACTCTAAACTGTCGCAAAGGCAGGTGGACCCAGCCTGATCACTCGAATAGTAACCAGACCACCCTTCTTAATTAGTATATAAACCCGTTCGTACCAACGATCGGGGGCAGTACCAGAGTTCATCTCGTGTCGAGCACGTCGTGTACGGTAGTGAGTTTGGTTACTATTAGTGAGATCGGGTTGAAGTCCCCTTCGAGCAACATTCACCTTATAGAATCCGCGAGTCGTGTTTCTATTTGGCATTACAATCAACCACACACAACACCCCCGCATTGCCAGTGCGTGAACACCGAGCATAGTGGAAATAGGTAATATATCACATTATACACCTATATTCGCGACAACAACATCTGTAATAGACCAAGATTGTAGAATATATACATTGCTGTGTCAAACCCACATTAGCATTCTCCTTTAAACCCAGTGAAACCTTGTGACAGTTCCTACCACAATACAATCTTACCGCTCGGGTTGTATTGATAATAAAATAAGTTACGCGGCCGCCAATCAGAAAGCCTCTGATAGCCACGCGCGCTGCCAAGCCGTCGGCCACGTAACAGTAGAAACTTCGAAAAGCCGGCTCCTGGAGCATTTTTGACTTTTCGTGGGGTCCGGGAACCCCAGTGGGGCGGTAGAGAACCCGTTGTTCGTGGGGTTGAGGTATGCCAGGGGCAGGGGCCCTGAGGCACCCAGTAGGGAGGATTCCCATCCTGCAGGGGCTGGGGTCCTGTGGAACCCTGCGTGTATGGTTGTCATCTTGCAGGGGCTGGGGTCTTTTGATTACCCATGGGGTCCTCAGTACCCCGAAGTGACGTAAAACGGTTTTGGGACGGTAGTGATAGATTGGAGCGTACAAACAAATGTTAGTAGGAAAATATAAGAGGTACGCGCAAGTTTAGAACAATTTGTAATACTGCTATTTACGACGTTTCTGGGGGTTTTCCATCATTTTCATGCTCGGGCCTTTTATTGAGGCATGTCAGTGACCCTTACTGTTATGGTTTCCCCCCGTGGTGCTGCGGGGTTTTCGGCGACGACCTGGCTTATTTATACTGGAACTGAGAAGGATATACTGAACAGGGGTTTTGGACTGTTTTTGACTTATGACGACTCTGGCTACGTCTAAGGCTAATTCTACAAATAAAACATAATGGATAACGACAGTACAAGGATCAAGAATTACGGTGCAGGGGGATTCGGACCCCCCAGTACCGGCGTGGAGGGCAGTGTGTGCGCAGGCGCCCCCACGTCGTTAACAAGCAACTGCGCAGTACGGGAGGTGGACCGCAGGCCCCCGTACTAGCAACAGCGTCTGGCGAGGTTAAAATCCCAAGATAGCGGTACAGGCTGTACCCAGCGCCTTTTTTAAGAAGCCACGTGTAAGTAGGACCCCCCCTGGTGCGACCAGGTGCAGGGTTCGAAGTGAGAACTCTGGAAGGACCGACTCCGTGGACTTAACCGGAGACGAAGCGGAGGGCGAGGATAGCGACGTCAGCACGAGGTCGACAATGAGTGGAACAGCTGGTATAGCTCCGAAAATGCACAAAATGGGTTCTCCCTCACTAGAGGAGAAAGTAGATGCGAGTTTGAAAGCCATCGAGAAGATACTGAAGGCGCTGAGTGACCACAATATGGTCTTTGATAATCTAATATTAAAGAGGAAAGAGGGAGAAATTGACCCTATACTTAAAGGGACTTACAAGTCCATGAAGGGTTGTCTTGACCAGGTCATCGAAGCGGTGGATGGCCTTAGAGAGGCGCACAAAGACCATACGGTAAAGAAAAGGAAAAGGGTACCTACCAGGGTCCGAAGTTGTGGTCGATGTCCGGGGATGATCACGGCAGCAGCAAGGAACCTGAAAAAAAGAAGAGAACAGTTAGTATACAAACTCAAACGGATTGCGAAATGAGGAGTGATTTCCCACCTCTCCTAGTGAACCACCAGAAGAGGAAGGAGATTACTCCCCCCACAGGAGGGGATGGTAAAAGGACAAGGTTCTTCGGTGGGAGAGACGGGGAGCCTAGAGAAACCGTGCAAGGGAGAGAGACAGCGAGACAGAGAGAAGAGAAGGCTGTTGGCGATAGTGGGGATGAATGGAAGGAAATAAGAAGCAGGAGGAGAAGAAAGCTCTCTGTAAGTGGGGGTATGGATAAGGATGATACTCCTATTAGAAGGGGTGCACAGAGGACAGGACCGGAAAGGGGAAGGGTAGGGGCACCCACACCAAAGAGAAATGTGAAACCGCAAGCCATTGCAGTCCGATTCGGAAAGGAGAAATCCTTCGCTGAAATATTGAAAAAGGTGAAGGGAGCCGCAGGTAAGGTTCCAGAGGGAATACGGAACGTGAAGCAGACTAGGGCGGGCAACATACTGCTGGAGTTTGCCCCGGGGGCGGATCTTGAGGGCCTGAGGCGGGATCTAGACGGTAAGTTAGGCTCCGAAGTAGAGGTAGCTAGTCTACAAAAGAAGATGGACGTGGAGATCGAAGGTATCGACCCCACGGTGGAAAAGGAGGAAGTGATTGAGGTGTTAAAGAAAGAGTTGGGCCACGAGGCTAAAGGAATTAGAGTGAAGGTGTTTCGTGTGGACCCTAGATTGAGTAAGATTGCAGTGATTGAGGGTCCGGCTGTGGACATGAGCCGCCTAATCAATAGAAGAATATTGATAGGTTGGACTGCAGTTACGCCTAGGGAGGTCCCGCGTCTTTTGCGTTGCTATAAATGCCACGCGATTGGACACATGGCAAGCGCCTGCAAACTGACGGGCGACGAAGAGGGACTCTGCAGAAAATGTGGAGAAAAGGGGCACCAAATGAAGGAGTGTGACAGAGACCCAAGGTGTAGGCTCTGTGTGGCCGATGGGCTCCCGATTGAGCAAGTTGGTCATGTAGCGGCCTCGGTACGATGTCCCAAATACAAAGAGGCGCTAAGACTTAGCAGGCGAGCGTAAGATGAAAATCCTGCAGGCGAATATAAATCATTGCCGTTTAGCACACGACATGCTGTTAGTTAGTGCTACAGAGAAGATTGCAGATCTGGTAGTGGTGGCTGAGCCGTACACCATACCGGACAACTGGTTTAGTGACACCACGGGTAGAGCGGCAATATTTATCACCAATACAGGCTTGGCCAAGTGCAAGCAGACCACAATTGTTGGTTGTGGAATTGGCTACGTTGGTATTAGCTTTAATGGACTGGGAATTATAAGCGTTTATACCACCCCGAATGCAAATCCCCAGGAGGTTGAAGTACAGTTCTCGGCGTTGGAAGCCCTGGTGAGGGATTTACAGTCATCGCACTCTAAAATACTGATGTTAGGGGATTTTAATGCTAAATCCCCGCTGTGGGGCGCAGATAGGTGGTGTGGGAGGGGAAAGGTCCTGTTCCAATTGGCCACGAGCCTTGGTCTCCACCCAACGATTGCGGTGGGAGGTGCTACATGCGAGAGAGGGGGTGGGTCCGTCGTGGACATCATGCTGGGGAATGACCTGGCACTCAGCCCTCACATATCGTCAGAAGTAAGTGACGAATTTACAGGATCTGACCATAGGTATGTATGGCACTCGTTTAGGGAGAGTGACTCGGTGTACGCGGTAGATCACGACCTTTTTGACCTTGGAAAGGGCAAAATCGACGAGGAAAGGCTCCTTGCGGCGTTAATTAAAAAATATGGCGACGAAAGCCTCGAGAGAAGGGGAAGGACCGGCACCACACACGAAGTGGACAAATTTATTGAAGACTTGGAGAGGCTGGTTAATCGTTACACTACCTATAGAAGGGCGACATTGAGGGCCCATAAGCCAGCTTACTGGTGGAATGACGCCGTAGCTGTGAAGAGAAAAGAGGTTAATAAAGCCAGGAGGAAGTATACCCGGGCAAGGGCTAAGAACGTGACAGCGGATACTGAGGCCGCTTATGCAATATATAAAGCAGCTAAGAAGGCCCTGAATAGGGAGGTTAATAAGGCGAAGAAAACCAACTGGAGGGAACTGTTAAGCGAGATTGATAAGGACATATGGGGGCGGCCCTACAAGACAGTTATGAAGAAGTTAAAGGGCAAGACGACTAAGCCTGACGTGATGTGTCCTGAGGAAGTAGAAGCGGTTGTGGAAAAGCTGTTCATATTGAAACCACCCGACGGGCAATTACCTGTAAATAAAGGGTTAGAGATCAATTCAGTAGAGACTGCTGGGGTTGGATACTTACATGACTCATCGTACTTACCTGCGGGTGAGAGTGGGCGGAGGCTACCTGAAATTGGAGAAGAAGGGGAAGAAGTAGGTGGAGATAGGGAAGGAGGAGTTGCTGAGGAGGTATCTACACATTCATACGCACATACATACATACATACACTTGCACACGTACACACACATCCACAGTCGCACTCACCGGTATACTTACCTGCGCCAAGTTCCGAAACTGGATCGGGAATCGAGCGAGATAGGAGAGGGCAGAACTTCTCCGAGGGCCCACAAACAACGAGCGAGGTGGACAAGGTTACCCCGGGTGAAGTGTATTTACTGGCAAAGAGGTTATCCGCTAAAAAGGCCCCGGGTCCGGATAAAATTTCATCAGCGGTGACGAAGAAATTCGCCATGGGAGCCTCCAGGTGGCTGGCGCACATATTCACCACCTGCTTCAGGAGGGGCTATTGGCCTGTTAGATATAATGTTCGCGAGGCGTGTTCGATCACGGTTCTGGGATAAGTGCCATGCCGTTCCTCATGGTCCTCCTACCAGAAGATGCAAGATCTTCCCCACTCTGTGGCCAGATCCTTCTAGAACACCCTTATCTTTTTACACGTGCCATGCAGCACCATGACTTCGGGTCATCGGCCACACGCGCGTTCCTTCGAGGATCGGCGATCGAACTCTCTATCGCCGTTCCATAAACAAAACATCCGCGACTCTTAGAATTCGTCGCACCTCAAGTATCAACTACCGCCGGCCTAAGTCCGATGACAGACATATGGCTCGGGGTATCGATAGTCTAAAGAATCCTAAGAAATCCTTGAAACTCAGGTCAAAGCCCAAAATGCATTGACCCTGACACGTGTCAACCCTTGAACACGTGCTGACGCTAACACGGCCAAACTGACCTGCTTCGCGCTCTCGAGAAGCATCCTTACCCATCACTTAACTCAAGATATCCCTGGAGTCGTATTTCATCCAACAACCTTCAATTCCAGTAGCAAGGCCCTTCGTTTTCACAGCACGAAAGGAAGAACAATTCCCAATTTAGATAATTCTCCCAAACATGTCATATTGTAACGATACTCGCAAGTACGCCACACCAACGGACAACACTTATCAGTGTCACCGCATATTCACAGGCACACAGCCATATCAGACGTGCACACAGCACCAAACGTCATAGCGTTCCACAGCAACGATACTTACAAGCATCTTGCTTAACAAATTCGAACTGCAACATTTTTTTTTTTTTTTTTTTCGAGACCGTAACGTCTCCTCTTTAGCCTGAATTGTGTACCTTTCAAACGCCGTCCTTCAAATACTTCACCAAGTCCGTGACCGTATGTCACCCAAAGTGTAGTTTTACTTCGAACCCCTAGCGTTACTCTATTCCGCACACAATCCACTGTTTCATCGAGATTATAACGTTCTCTATTCCGCGCAATTCTTGTACCGTTCAAACGTTGTCTTTCGAAGGATAACATATCAAGTCTGTGGTTTTATTGTCACCCATGATAGAGGTCTCCTTCGAATCCACAACGTTGCTCTATTCTGTACACGATATTGTCGTCTTTCATACGTTATTCTCAAACATATTCATACTGTAACATGACGGACAGGTTGATAACCGTTCAACTGCATAGCAGCAATAAATCAGAGACAAATTATATGTACGTTACTTTTAATTGCCTGTAAAACAGTAATACAAAAATAATACGACCAATAGAACGCCGCACATTATATAATCCGCTAACACGGCTCATCTCCACTGTCGCTCTCGTCATTTAAACCTTCATTCGTATCGGTATCACCTGACCACTCGCCTTTCCATAATCTCAGACGGTCCTTGGGCACCGTTTGCGGTCTTCCGGTTTTTCCAACTATCTCGTATCGGTCATTAGCTAAAATTTTGGATACTACAAATGGCCCTACATACTTAAGTTCCAATTTCGCACGTCTTAAATCGGCTGGTTTTACAAAAACCGTATCACCCTCTTTATAAACTACGTTTACTCTGCGCTTCTTATCGAATCTACTATTATTCTGTTTTTGAGCATTTTCGGTCAACCTTTCTGATGCTAATTCTCTATCTTTAATAACGTCAATTGGATCATTCGTATCCGGCAATTCAGTTTCGGCAGGATCGGCGGTAGCCGTGCTTCGCTCTACGCCAAACAATAAACGATACGGAGAGAACCCTGTTGTTTTCTGAACGGTTGTATTCAAAGAAATCATTAATTTAGCTAATTTGTTCGGCCATTCTGAAATTTTATTTATTTCCGCGGTAAGCAAGTTTATTACCGTCGAAACATACCGTTCGGCCTGCCCGTTAGCACGAGGTGCTCCTGTAGCAATAAAGTGCAAGTCAATTCCATGTTTCTTAATAAATTGAACCAATGGTTTGAATGTAAAGTTAGTTGCTCGATCCATTACAACGACTCTAGGTGTACCAAATAACGTTAAGCGTTCTTTAAATACTTGTAGCATTTCTGGACCGGATAATGATTTTAATGGAACGAGTTGCACATATGTATTTTGTAAAAGCATCTACGATGACTAGAATATGTTGGTATCCGTCTTTCGACCGTTCAAATGGTCCTACACAATCACAGTGTATCATATAAAAGGGTATTGCTTTTTTGTTAATTGAATGCAACAGTCCTTGCTTCGGACCTGTGTGCCGTTTCGATACAATACAAGTAATACAGTGTTCAATGTACTTATTTACAAACTTGCGCATCTTTGGAAACCAATATTTCTGCATTATACGATCGTACGTTTTTTCAGGACCTACATGACAATTTTCGTCATGGTATAAACGCAATAAACCGATTCTACTGCCTTTTGGGACAAAACTACGATATACTGTTTGCCCGGATTCTCTTTGTATTTTTCTACACAAAATACCTTGTCGAACTTCGAAATCGCTACTCACAGTATCGTTCGTTTCTATACGTTCTATAATAGATTTTGTTTCCTCATCTTTTCGCTGAGCGACTTCTAACCATGAGCCTTCACAAATAGTGTTAACACGGTAGTCTTTAGGCGGATTTCGGCTTAAATAGTCCACGTGTTCTACATATTTCCCTTTACGGTATTCTATTTCAAAATTAAAATCTTGCAAAAAGATCCACCATCTTGCAACACGCGGTAACAAATCCTTTTTTGTACTCGTAGCTTTTATAGCATTACAATCCGTTATGATTTTGAATTTAATGCCCAACAGATATACGCGGAAGTGCCTCAGCGCGTTTACAATTGCAAGCGTCTCCAACTCATAGGAGTGATAACGAGACTCCTCCGGTGTTGTACGTCGGCTAAAATATGCTACTACCCTTGAATCACCGTCTACCTTTTGAAAAAGTATGGCCCCATAACCGATTGCACTTGCATCCGTGTGCAATTCCGTTTCTCTTTCGGGGTTAAAGATTACGAGCAGAGGATTCGAACTTAATTTCTCGAGAATGTAATGCCGTGCCTTCTCTTGTTCTTCAGCCCAATGCCATTGTTCGTTTTTCTTTGTCAGCTTAGTAATACATGCCGTTCGTACAGCGAATTCAGGAACAAACTTTCGGAAATAGCTAGCTAAACCCCAAATTGCCTAACTTGTTTTATGTTGCATGGTACGGGCGACTCTAACAAAGCTCGAACCTTGTCTTTCCCTGGCCTAATACCCTCAGCAGAGACTTCCCTACCCAGATATTCAATCGTCTTTTGGAAAAATTTACATTTCTCGATGTTTATAGAGAACCCCGCGGTATCAAGTGCTTGCAATACTATTTCTAGGTATTTTAATCCTTCCTCTATTGTTCGCGACGGAATAAGAACGTCGTCAATGTACACTAAAGCTATCTTATTTCGTAAAGTTCCTAAAGCTGTGTTTATGGCTCTCTGAAAGACGGCGGGTGCGTTGGCCAGCCCAAATGGCATTCGTAGAAATTCGTAGTGACCATCTGGAGTCACAAAGGCCGTCTTTTCTATGGAATCTTCGGCAATAGAAATCTGGTAAAAGCCAGATGTCATATCTAATATTGTGTAATATTTTCCCCGGCCCAAACGATCAAGCTGGTCTTCTATCAAAGGTAATGGGTACCGATCCTTGACGGTAATTCTATTAAGGGCACGGAAATCGACACACATGCGGTCTTTACCATTCTTTTTCTTTACAAGGATTATAGGGCTTGCAAACGGCGAAGCACTTTCGCGTATTATATTATTCGCTAATAAATCGTCAATTATCTCTCGTACCTTTTCGCGCTCAGAAATAGACAAACGGTAAGGGTGATAATTAATTACCTTGTCTTCCTTGAGTTTGATTTTTAATTCGCTTGTACTCACGCATCGTACTTTGTTGCCTGACGTAATCATATGGTTGTATCGGTCTAGCAGCTTTTCCACTTCTCCGCGTACCCCAACGTCGCCGACATCACAGGTGAAACACTGCGGTGTTGAGTCTTCTTGAATTCCTTGCGGGACCAGCGAACACCGTTGTAATTTCGTCTCCCCTTCGGAATTTGTTAAAATTTGGATGCCCTGCGTCACAATGTTTTTCCCAATTATGACATCATAGGTCATAGTGTCTTCAGAAACCACGAGGAGATCGAGTTCAGCGGTCACTTCTTCGGTCTGGATCACAGCGGTTGTTTGGCCGACGGTGGTCACAGCGGAATCACATAACCCTCTTACGATCGTTATGTAGGGGTCAATCTTACAATGAGCACGTTTAGCCACCTGTTCCTTGACAAGTGAACAGGTCGCGCCATTATCTACGAGACAACTTCGTACGACCATATCTTGTAAGATGATAGGGGTCAATTGGTGATCTAATCTAAAGCAGGCGTTGGCTTCAAGTTCCCCGTGACGACTGTTTGTCTTTTTGGCACCCTTGTCCTCACGAGGCGTTCTCCGCTTCAACCAACATTCGGACTCCTCATGCCCTCTCTTGGAGCAGAAAGTGCATGTAGGTACATTGGTCCTTTTAACGGGGTCCTTTGGCAAGCTTTCTGCTTTCCGTTTCCTCGGGCAGTCGTGCTGTAAGTGTCCTGTCTCATTGCACTGATAACAGCGTCTTCGTAGGATCTGATCACGACGCTTATACACTGCACCTTTACTATCACTGTTCTTTTCTTTTCGCGGCACTTTTACAAAGTTTGATATGCCACTGAGCAAATCCGCAGTTGTTGTATACCGTGCATTCATAAGCGATTGGCGCACACTAGGGTCAGTCACGTGGCCTATCACAAGACTAATCAACTCGTGCGGTTTAAAAGATATTTGCGTTTGTCCATAGTATTTTAGCTTATTTCGAACGTACTCAGAGTATGAAATTGCGGAATCGCTATTGTAATTCACAGCACATGATAGTCTTTCGCACAATCGGTCCTCCGACACAAACACTGAACATAAATCCTCGCGGAACGTTGTCCACGTTCTTGGATTTCCTTCCCATCCCTTATACCACTTTTTGGCAGCACCATGCAACGCATGGGTGGCCAAACTTAGTCTTTGCGAAA